CTCTTCTTCTGCATCTCCGGCGAGTTCTCTTTGCTCTTCCTTCCTCTCATCATTCCCGAGTGTTTCTCTTGCATGCTGATGTTCCTCTCGAGGTTGGCGATGTTCTGTTCCACATCGAGGAGCATCTGCTTGTCGTCCTCCAGCCCGCTTCCGTATCCTCCTCCTTCCTGGGCGTCGCTCACGTCTCCATCCCAGAAAAGTCCTCCTCCACCTCGGTCTAGTATTCCTCCTCCTCCTCCTCCTCCTCCTCTTCCTCTCTCCGGTCCTCCTCTCCCTCCTTCTATACCTCCTCCTCCACCTACTCTTCCTCTTTCTAGTCCTCTTCCTCCTTCTATACCTCCTCCTTCTCCTCCTAGGATTCCTTCTCCTTCTTCTCCTCCTCCGAAGACGTCCTCCTCGGCTCTAGCTGCACTGTGCCTGCGTCTGCGCCCTTCCCTCCCTCCTCCGGGCGGCGCGATGTAGCGGGCCTCGAAGGATATGAGGATCTGAGGAAGAAGAGAGGGGGGGGGGATGAGTGAGGAATTAACAATTGAATAAAGAGGTGAATAAATGAATGGAGAAATTTGTAGATTAATGGATGAGAGAAAAGATAAATCAATGAATGAAGAAATTTGTAGATTAATGGATGGGTGAAAAGATAAATCAATGAATGAAGACATTTGCAGACTAATGAATGAGTGAAAAAAATAAATGCATGAAAGAATAAAGAGATGACAAAATGAATGAACACATAAACACATAAATAGATAAACAAGCAAAAAAACAAATCAATCAATCAATAGATACGCACGAGAAGTAGATAAAGAATAGATAAAGAGATTGAGAGAAGTTTGGTAGTGCCTATTACGAGTATTTATGTACACACACCCACTCTGCGTGTGTCTTATACGTACATATTCACACACATAAGTATACATATCGCTTGTGTCTTCAGTCTACGATGGAGATTTGATAGACATAAAAAATCCGTCTAGATTATATAATACACACAAGAAGTACACAAATTCACAGGCATAATCTTATATACTAAACAAATCACAGAACTGAAACCTTTTAAAGCCGATTTAATGAGCATTTATTTAAAAAATGAGATGGCAAGTGGACGTATTAACTTGGCGTACATAATTTTACATACCAAACTAAACACAGCAACTGAAACCCTTTAAAACCAATTTAATAAACAAAAAAAAGAGATTTCATGAGGTTAATAAACCTGACGTACACAAAGCCAAGTGAAATATTTATGAGGTGGAGCACAGGTGTTGGATTAATCACGAAAAGATATGATTTAATGATAATAAACTGATGTTTTTTTTTTTTTTTTTTTTTTTTTTTTTATCTGGTTGAGACTCAATAAGTAAGGTACACTAAGAGTTAAAGGAATCGTTTTAGGACACTGAGGAAAGAAAATGTTATGAAAATGAAAAAGAAATGTTAGGAATGTGGTTAATATGATAGATAATATGGAGATAGATAGATAGACATATAGTTGGATAGATAGATGGGCAGATAGACAAATAGACAGATAGACAGACTGACAGACAGACAGACGCACGGACGGCCGGGCGGACGGACGAACAGACAGATAGATAGATTGATAGACATAGAAACTGACAGATAAACAAATAGAAAGACAGTTAGATAGACAGATAGATGGATAGGGATAAAGACATAAACAGATAAATGGATAGATATATAAATAGGAACAAAGACAGAGATATAGAAACATATAAGTAGATCGACAACCAGATAATAATAGAGATAATTACAGAGAAAGATAGCTCGGTAGATGGATGGATAGAGAGATAAATAATTGCACACAGAGATAAGGATAGATAATCAGATAGATAGAAGCAGCCCATTCGTTCCACCAATCTCCCGAATGTCACACAAACAAACTCCCTTCATATCCATCGCTGAATATCTCTTTCATCGCCAGATATTCATATTCATAAACCTCCTAAAACCTTCCACAGTTGTTTCATAATCCTAGAAAATCCGGAGCCAATATGATGTATGCAAATCAAGCATTCCGGAAAGTATGATTAAAGAAATGGAAAGGGAGTCGAGTTGCGTCTTGATGAATATGCAGTTGCCTTATTTTAATGAAACTCAATCTGCTGATTTCTTTATTTCTCTGTCTCTGTCTCTGTCTCTGTCTCTGTCTATGTCTCTGTCTATGTCTCTGTCTATGTCTCTGTCTCTGTCTCTGTCTCTGTCTATGTCTCTGTCTATGTCTCTGTCTATGTCTCTGTCTATGTCTCTGTCTCTGTCTATGTCTCTGTCTATGTCTCTGTCTATGTCTCTGTCTCTGTCTCTGTCTCTGTCTATGTCTCTGTCTATGTCTCTGTCTATGTCTCTGTCTGTCTGTCTGTCTCTCTCTCTCTCTTTCTCTCTCCCTCTCTTTCTCTCTCTCTCTCTCTCTCTCTCTCTCTCTCTCTCTCTCTCTCTCTCTCTCTCTCTCTCTCTCTCTCTCTCTCTCTCTCTCTCTCTCTCTCTTTCTCTCTCTCTCCCTCCCTCCCTCTCTCTCTCTCTCTCTCTCTCTCTCTCTCTCTCTCTCTCTCTCTCTCTCTCTCTCTCTCTCTCTCTCTCTCTCTCTCTCTCTCTCTCTCTCTCTTTCCTTTTCCCTCTCCCTCATTCCCTCCTTCCATTCTCTCCCATCTTCCCTTCCTCCTCCCTTGCCTCTTTCCTTATCCCTCTCCCTCATTCCCTTCTCTCTCATTCTCCCTTCCTCCTCCCTTGCCTCCTTCCTTATCCCTCTCCCTCCTTCACTCTCACCCCCCCCCCCTCCATTTCTCACCGGACTTAAGTACACGCATGAATGTGCAAGTACATGCATGAACCTTTCGAAGCGGGCGAGAGGAAGGAGCATTAGCATAGGGCCGCAATGCACATCGTTCAGGAGAATGACCTACATCAGCCTGTACGTGGGTGTCCATGCCTAGTGTACGTGTGTAAAATTATCTATTGTAATGTATTCGAACGAGAACTTGTCTTCGAGAATAGGTTTTGTGGGAGGTATTTTATTAATGAGTTTCTGTAATGAGTTTTGATGGTAATGCGTGGTGTTTATTTTTAATGGTAAGGGCGTTTTGTAGTGTTGCAATGGTGATAATGGTTTATAATGATCTTAATGGAAATGTTGTTCCGCAGTGGTTTGTGGGGATTTTTAACAGTAATATTCGCTTACGGACGATATGTTTGTCATACATTTCTTTCTATCAGTGCATTTACACACGTGCATACGTCTCCACACACACACACACACACACACACACACACACACACACACACACACACACACACACACACACACACAGAGCCAAACTCACAGAGACGCACACACACATACCTGCATTACATACACGTGTCCTCCTCTGCTCCCAGCCATCCCCCCCTCCCCCCTCCCCCTCCCCCTACCCTCTTTCCCCACCTCCACCCCCGTCTTTTATTTAGCTAATAAAGTACTCATTATTTCCGTGTTGAGTACCTCGTGGGCGTGAAGAGAATAGTTACCCGTGCAATATCCGTGTTGATGTGTTTCCCAAAAAGGGCGTTGATATATATTCGTATGTAGGTGTCAGTAGAATCTATTTCTTTTTATTATTTTATTTTTCCTTTTTCGTCTTCTTTTTCTTCTTTTACCTCTTGTTATCATTACTTTTATATTGCCATTATTATTATTATTATTATTTTTTTTTTTTTATTTATTTATTTATTTATTTATTTATTATTATTATTATTATTATTATTATTATTATTATTATTATTATTATTATTATTATTATTATTATTATTATTATTATTATTATTATTATTATTATCATTATCATTATTATTAATATTATTATTATCATTATCATTATTATCATAATCGTTATTATCATCATTATCGTTATTATAATCATTTTCATCATCATCATAATCATCATTATTACCCTTCTTCTTCTTCTTCTTCTTCTTCTTCTTCTTCTTCTTCTTCTTCTTCTTCTTCTTCTTCTTCTTCTTCTCCTCCTCCTCCTCCTCCTCCTTCTTCTTCTTCTTTTTCTTCTTCTTTCTCCATTTTTCTTTAAGGCTGCAGAATTCGAGAAAGCCACGCGAGGGCACGACGCCAGGCGCTGGAAGATCAAAGGTAGCTCGACGGGACCCAGGATGCCGTGATGGAGCCGGATGCTGCGTCTGATATGGATGGCGGCGGTGATGATGGCAGTGATAATGATGGGGATATTGATAATAATCCCTCTCCTTCGCACCCTTCTTCCCTTTCTCCCTCTCTCTTCCTTTCTCTCTTTCCCTCCTCTTTCTGCTTCTCTCTCTCTTTCTCTCCACCCTTCCTTGCTCTCCCCCATCCTCTCTCACTCTTTCCCTCCCTCTCCTTCTCCCTCCCTCCCACCCATCCACCCTTCCTCCCTCCTTCCCTCCCTCTCCCTCTCCCTCCCTCCCTCTCCCTCCCCCTCCCTCTCCCTCCTTCCCTCCCTCTCCCTCCCTCTCTCTCCCCCTCCCTCTCCTTCTCCCTCCTTCCCTCCCACCCACCCACTCTCCTTCCCTCCCTCTCCCTCCCCCCTCCCTCTCCCTCCCCCTCCCTCTCCTTCTCCTTCCCTCCCATCCACCCTCCCTCCTTCCCTCCCTCTCCCTCTCCCTTCCTCCCATTCACCCTCCCTCCCACCCACCCTCCCTCCTTCCCTCCCTCTCCCTCTCCATCTCAGAATAAAGATTTTGTTTTCTTAGAAGACGTTTCTTAAAATCAAAAGGTCGTTACGAGTGCAGAGAAAACATTCAGCATTAAGGTCGAGTGTTCATTCGAAAGGCCATGAGCCAAAGCGCAGGTCAAGGAGATGTTACCTGAACACATATGAACACACACAGCCAAGTGAACACAGGTATGTACATACACAGAAACCAAGGTATAAGTACATGTCTATGGTTGTGTCTGTCTATTATCTGTCTATGTGTGTGTGCGTGTGTGTGTATGTGTGTGTGTGTGTGTATGTGTGTGTGTTTGTGATTGTGTGTGCGTGCGTGTGTGTGCGTATGTGTGTGTGTGTGTGTGTGTGTGTGTGTGTGTGTGTGTGTGTGTGTGTGTGTGTGTGTGTGTGTGTGTGTGTGTGTGTGTGTGTGTGTGTGTGTGTGAGTGTGTGTGTGTGTGTGTGCGCGCGTCTGCGTGCGTGCGTGTGTGTGTGTATGTGTATGTATTTATGTATATACACACGTATGTATGTATGGATGGATGCATGGAGATAGATGGAGGGAAGGATACTTATGTATGCAAGTAAATAAGTATGCACGTATTGTATGTATCCATGTATATATGCATACACGCATACATGCATATACGTATGTAGGCATGTAAACAAGCGCGTATCCCCGTTAGCCAGCATTTCTAATTCGTGTCAGAGCAGCGTCAGGAGTGAAGTCAGAGTGCGTAATACCTCGCGATAACGCTGACGTAACACGCGTCAGATAACAGGCACATCCGCACAGATTC